CTCTTGTTGTTGTTTTGTGTTTGTGTTGTCCTCTTGTTGTTGTTTTGTGTTTGTGGTGCACTGATAAATCAGACGTCAGATTTATCGGCCCTGATTTCCTTAATTTTGAGAAATCGGTTGATACTTGGACGAGAAACCGATTAATTTTTTAACAACGATTGTCTGAAGTTGATTTCTAGTTCAGAGCTCTGCCTCGTGGCCACTTTAAACCAGTTTGTATTGTTTATAGGATGTTGTTCAATCGTATGTTTGTCAATAAAATAATAGTGGAAAATTGAAGGTGCATTGTGACCCTATAACACCTGACAGTGTTGCTTATCAAATTAAATCAGTATCGGCTAAAATTGGCATCAGCAGGTCAGACTTTAGAAATCATTGATCAGCCAGAAAACTGATCGGTGATCGGTGCACCCCGCTCTGACTGCAGGTTTGGGTCTGAGGAGCTCTCGGGACTCACTAACCTCATGCTCATCAGAGTTCATGTGGGTGGGCAAGGTGACGCACCCACACCTGCCTCCACCCTCATGTGCCCCACGCTGGGCCCTGGAGCAAGGCCTCAACCCCCACCTTCTGCTCCCCCGGGCACCGTACGTGGCAGCTCTCTGCTCCACAGGGCTTGTGTAGCTCGGTGGTCTGCTTGGTCAGGAAGGACGTCTGTCTTCGTGTGGTGGCCCCTGGAGAAGGCAGCAGCTGTGTCTGGACTCAGTCCACAGAACATCAGATCAGCTGTTCTGCCTTCATCACTGGGAATGTGCTGATTGTGCCGGGGTGGGTCTCTGAGAGGACCGACACACAGTCAGCAACCTCCTTTACTCCTCTCTCAAACCATCGTTCCTCTCTGTCCAGGATGTGAACATCTTCATCCCTGAAAGAGTGACCGCTGGCCTGGAGATGAGTGTAGACCTCAGAGTCCTGGTCTGATGATGTTGATCTTCTGTGCTGGTCCATCCTTTTGGCCAGTGGCTGTTTACTGTTCACAGAGGGCTGAGTGATACTAGCAATCACAGCATTGTAAGAGGGAGACAGTTGAACCTGGAGGTTCCGCCCCTGTTTAATGATGGACGATTTCTTTTCACAAAGATGGCCTCCTTTACTCCTCTCTCAAACCATCGTTCCTCTCTGTCCAGGATGTGAACATCTTCATCCCTGAAAGAGTGACCTCTGGCCTGGAGATGAGTGTAGACCTCAGAGTCCTGGCCTGATGATGTTGATCTTCTGTGCTGGTCCATCCTTTTGGCCAGTGGCTGTTTAGTTTCCCCGATGTAAGACTGATCACCCTCCTGACACTGAACAACATACACAACATTGCTCTGTTTGTGCCGGGGGACTGGATCTTTGGGATGAACCAGTCTTTAATGTATTTTGGGGTTTAAAAGCCACTGGGACGTTATGTTTAGAAAATAAAGGTCTCAGTTTCTCTGATACTCCCTCAACATCTGGAATGACCACTGGTCTGGGTCTGGGTTCCTCCTTTTCACCTGATGCTGACTGGAGTCCTGTTTGGGTTTCTTCTTTCAGTACACAGCCATCAGGTGCTAATGATCCATTGTTAGGCTGATGGTCCTTCTTGAGCATGTGATCAGCTGGTTCTGGTTGTCAGCAGCAAACTGGTTGATCCACTCTGAGAAGGTGCTATTTAAGAGACTGAGCTGAATCCTCAGACTGAGGAAGTCCTCAGGATGAGAGATGAAACGTTGCAACAGTTTTACATTTTGCTTTGTTTTTTTGAATGTCCAGAGGACCAGACTTAACTTTTTTAGTTTTTTCCACCTGGATTTTTGAGCAGCATCAGGATAACTCCTTTAGCTTTTACCTGCTGTTCTGCTATGTTTATGTAGCCTTTTAGCTCTTTTAGCTAACCTTTCCCTACACTTAGTTTTCTAGTCCAGTCACATTCAGCTGATTTTATTTTAGCTGTAAAGATTCGGCTTCAGCAGCACATGCAGTTTTAAAACGCCACGCGGTTCGTTCTTTAGGCCGCCTCATGTGACCTGCTGGGTCCTGCCGGGTCACATGGCGGGCCTCGTTTAGACCAGGAAGGATCTGCACGAGCTGAACAGACGGAGCCGTCGGCTGAATAAAGTGTTTTTCTGTGATTTGTTCTGCTGGCATGTGCAGATTCAGAGGTCAAAGGTCATCGTCACTGAGACACACGACTCGTTTATGGTCTGGACCGGTTCCTCCTCGGCTCTGCAGGTTTTCATCTCGTTTCATGTTTGTAGTTTTTCCAAGAGAAAAGTCACGTTCAGCAGAAATCAGTTTTATTGCTGCCCTCACAAGTGAAGAGTATCTGTTAGCAAAATATCTCCTGAACTCATGAAGTCATAAAATCATTCTTTTCAAACTTTATTTTTATGCCACATTTCAATCTTTGGCTCAAATAACAGAAGCACCGTATTATAAGGATGATGAGAGCTTCAAATCTTTTCCTGGAATATCTTACAAAAAGATCTGAAGCTCTCGACCTTTGACCTCTCTAAGTGTCTTTAAGAATCTGTTGGACTCCTGGCAGGGACCAGTGCAGACATGTTCCTGTTTTAGTTTTATACATTCACCTTAGAATCTAGATGTTTTTTGTTTTGTTACCTTTTCCTTTAGCCATCCTATTTGTAAAAAAACAAAAAACTGTAGTATGCTTTTTTATATAACTGTTTATTGTTGTTGTCCATTGTTGTCATCTTTCTTTGTTAAATCAGGTCTCTGTTGTAAATGAGTCCTCGAGGCTCAATGGGATTTACCTGTAGAAATAAAGGTTGAATGGTTTAACTAGAGGTCAAATAAATGTTAAATAAAGGTCAAATAAATGTTAAATAAAGGTTGAATGGTTTAACTAGAGGTCAGATAAA